TAATGACAATACACCTGCCAGGGCTCCCCCAGACCCGCTGAATGAGAAGCTCAGGCTGGGAGGGTGAGCATCTGTGCCGTGAGAAGACTGCCCCAGCGATTCTGCAATCTGAGCCCTGTGCAGGGCATGGGGCCACCTCAGTCCTCCCTCTCTCCCTTCCTGTATTTTGTTTGTTCCTTTGTTCGTTGGTTCACTCCTTCAGGCTTCTGGAGACATCCCCACAAGCCAGGCCCAGGGCAGTCATGTCGGCTGCTCTTCTTTTCCATCTGTGAGTGACTGCTGGGAGGGCCCTTCCCCGAGCTCCCCACGTCCTGGACCCATCTCCCGACCTCTGGGGGCTCCACAACCACCCACAAGTAGCCCTGTGGAGGCGACACCAGCCTAATGGAGCCTGACGGAGGCCCCACTCTGCCCCACAGGGCCCCCTCATCTTGGCATGCTCAGTCTCACCCGAGGCAGCCGGGGGCTGTCTGGTCGCATACACAAGCCAAGAGTCTGCATGTTCGGTAGTCAGTGCAGAGGGGGTCTTTTGGACAATGACATGGATGCCTTTATTTTTTGAGACAGGGTCTCACTCTGTCACCCAGGCTGCAGTGCAGTGGAGTGATCACAGCTGGCTGCAGCCTCGGCCTCCCAGGCTGAAGTGATCCTCCCACCTCAGCCTCCCAAGTAGTTGGGGCTATAGTGCACACGCCACCATGCCTGGCTAATTTTTATTTTTATTTTTTTGTAGAGATGGGGGGTCTTGCTATGTTGTCCAGGCTGGTCTCAAACTTCTCGGCTCAAGCAATCTGCTCACCTCGGCCTCCCAGCTTGCTGGGATCATAGGCGTGAGCCACCGAGCCTGGCCTCAGGATGCTTTTTTAGCCACCAGTTTTCAGAATAATTTCCTGAGTGCCTGGGCTGGTCCCTGAGGGTCCCAGAGAATAAAACATTATCACTGCATTTAAGGAACTGATAATAGCTTCTGAGTAGGGTACTCGGGGATAAACAGGAGCTCATCAGGGGCCAAGGAGAAAGGTGTTTCTGGTATCTCATTCAATCCCCAACACCTTGTGAGGTAGAACCTGCCTGTCAGGCTCCAGTGGAAGAGCTCAGGAAGAGACACAGCAAAACACAGCCCTCAGAGGCCAAGGTCAGGCTGACTGCGAGTGTCTGAAAACCAGGTGGGTCCTGTCACGGTGCCTCTCACTTTCCTCAGGCTGCGGCTGGGAGGAGACAGATCGAGGGCAGGCCTGAGTCACAGGCCCTGGCACATGGGCCACGGGCTCAGGTGAGGTGGCACCAGTGAGGTGGCAAAAGTGCACTGCTCAGGTGCTGCAACTCCAGGCAGCTTGGGTCTTCCCCCAGCCTCCCCAGGCTCAGGTGGGCAGAGGCTTGGAGACCCAGAGCCTAGCAGTATGTGGTTGGCAGGAGGCATGCCTGGCAATCTGAGAAGGCTTCCTGGAGGAGGTGAGAGGAGCTAGGGGTGGGCCTTCCTGACTGAGGAGCAGAGGGCCTTTTCTCAGGGCTGTCCCTGAGCAACCCCTCCCACAAGAGGGTGGTGTCAAGCCCTAGGCACTGGGCCGGGCCCTATGACACGAAGCTCTATGACATGCAGCTTCCTCACAGGCTGGCAGGATGGCCAGGCTCGTTGGGCAAGTGCCTGGAGGGCCCGGCCTCGTCACCATAAGGAAGTGACCTCACGCAGGGAGTTTCGGAGAGGTGCCCGCATCCTGCCCCAGCTACTGACAACCTCACACAGCTGGGCTCCGGTGCCAAGGATCCAGGCAGCTGGACTGGGCGGCTAGTGTCCCAGGTCAGATGTTTGGGCACCCAGACTGTACAATGCCTGCCCGGGGGTGGGGACCCTTGGCTCAGGCTCCGCATGAATCCTGGATGTGACCCCTCAGATAAATATTAGTAAACCTGGTTTGGACAGGCTCTGCCTGACACCACCAACTTGAGGCAGAGCCCCCTCCCCATCCTGAGAAGCAGTCACAGAACATCAGGGCTATTTCCTGCCCCTGGCCACAGAATCGGGGAAGCTGTGGATGTGGCCCCACTGGCCGCTGTGTAACCTGGGTTAGTCACCACCTCTCTGAAACCCCCACCCCACGTTCCCTGCAAACCCAAGAAAGCAGTCTCAACAGGGAGAATGACTGCACAGAACTAGCGCAGGGCAGTCCCACACAGACTGTCCTGCCATTGTCTGACCTTGGCATCTCTCGGGCCGGTGGTTCCTCCGCCTCCAACATGTGAGTGGCCCGGAACCCTTGTAAAAGCAGGTCCCATGGGGTGCAGCCGAATCCACACCGGGTTCCAATCTCTGTGCCGTGCTGGAAAAGCTCCCAGGCTCTTGGCTATCAAATGGCTCTAGGAGGGGGCATTCCTCAAAAGACCCTCGTGTGGGGTCCCTATGTCGGCACTCTTCTGCCTCAACATCCCTCCCCCACATCCCAGGAAGTGAGTATCCACAGTCCTCATCCTCCAGAGGAGACCCTCAGGCAGGCCTGCTCTGGGGAATGGGGATAGGTCCTTCCTTGTAAATGTGACCTTGACAAGTCGCTGCACCTCTCGGAGCCACCCTTTCTGCATCTGCAGCATGGGGCCAGTGCTCCTCCTGGGGGCACCGCTCAGCCCCAGGTGGGACCAGGTGAGACTCAGGCCGCAGGAAAAGGGAGGCTGAGGGGTGCTGGCAGAGGGTGGGGGGTCAGAGGGGCAGAGGGCAGTGTGGTGGTGGCGGGAAAGCCCCTTGGGTGGATGCGGAGAGGATGGGCAGCGCCTGCGTGCAAGTACCTGCCAAGTGGGCATGGTGTCCTTCAAGCCCCTCTCACCTCCTAAGGCCATGCTTTATTTTTGCCCATGTCCATAAAGACACCCTGGGGGCTCCTGAAGTCACCTGCTGGTCCAGGGCTGGTCAGGCTTGGGAGTCGGCTTCCTCCAGCCCCCACATTTGCAACTAGGTTCAGGCTGGTTCTGCCAAGCAGGGGCCCAGGGTGTCTAGCCGCTGCTAGGGAGGCCAGGGCCACTATGACTGAGCCCCTGGGGCCGGGACTGTGGACAGAGAAGCTGCCTGGGGAGGCCTGGCCTCCAGGGCTCAGATCTGATTTCCAGCAGCCCCCAAAGGGCCATCTACCTCCATACCCCCCAGGTCTTCACATTGTCCATGAGAGGAACAGAGAGGGGCTGAATGGGCAGGAAAGCCCCTAGGGAGGCTAGGAGGGCAGGGCCTCTGAATCTCGGCTGCATACCCTGCTCCCTGGCCCCCCAGCTCCTGCCCCACCTGTCAGAGCACCACCCCTGGGTTACAAGTCCTGCCCCCAGGGGACTGAGTTTCCCAGCCTCCCTTGAGAGGGCCACTGGGGTACAGGCAAAGAGAGGAGCTGGGCGGGGCTGGGGGAGCACACCTCACCTGGCCTCACCTGGTTTCCAAACCCTATTCCTCCCCTCATTTCTCCCAGCCTCTTATCTGCTCCTGCCTGTCCTCTGTCCGTTCCCGAAGGCCCTCTCCATCCTGAGGCAGTTTCCTCTCCTGTGGAATGGGGGCTGGAATGCCCACTTTGGGGCGTTCTCCAGGTTAGGTGGAGGCTGGACACGGTGGCATACAGGCACCACTGGCCCTTCAAGGTCTCCTTGCAATCTTCAAGGGCACGCCCTCCCCACAGAGTCCTCCAAGCTGTCCTCCTGGCCCCCAGTACCCGCGTCCCCCATCCCCACCCTCATGTACCTGCTGTGCCCCTGGGGGTTACAGGGATTCCTCTCCCCTCCTCTGGGGTCCCAGCACCAGCCAGGCCTGCAGGCACGCAGTAGATGCTTAAGCAACGCCGAGTGTTGGGGGATTTGCCTGGAGCCGATGTTCCGATGGCTGGCCCCTCAATGGGGTGGGCAGGCTGGTGGGCCTGGGGGTGTTCCAGGCACCTGTGGGCTCGGGAAGTGACAGAGCGCTCTGCCCCCAGCCACTTCTCCTGGTCTCCCATTGCCCAGAGGTGCCTCTTGCCCAGGCCCCACTGCTCGGCAGCCCAGGGCTCTCTAGCAGCAAAAGAAGGGACACCAGAGTCCGCATCCTTCCTGCAGCCTCTCTGGGCCAATGCTGGAATCCCTTCTCCTCGCCAAAGGCTGATCTCCCCTCACCCGCCCATCCTACCTGCTGCTCCCTCACCCCACAGGATCCCAGCCCTGCTGCAGGGACAGGTGTCAGGTCCCTCACCCCACAGGATCCCAGCCCTGCTGCAAGGACAGGTGTCAGGTAGGGGGCAGTGTTGACCTGCCGGCCCAGGCAGGTGTCTCACTCCCAGGCCAGAACCCTGGCACAGCCCAACCCTGCCCTCTGCCGGCACCGCCCCTCCACATCACGGCCCCTGCTCACTGCCATGTTCTCTGGCCACACAGGTAGGACCACCAGGCAGCTGCCACCTGCATGCCATTCACAGAACCTGGTCCGGGGCGCTCCTCTGAGCCAGCCGCCTGTTTATCCCTTACAGTGACCCTGAAGGGCAGGCGGAGGCGGGGCTGGTCTCAGGTCTGGGTTTTACGCTCTGCTGCCACTGTCTTGACATTTTAAATACACTTTGAATCAGGGGACTCTCGTTTTCATTTTGCGTGAGCTCCGCCATTGAGGCCAATTCCGACGCCAGAGGTGGTACTTCCTGCTGTAACCACCCCAGGGCGCAGCTGGGGGGCAGGGGCGCGGGAAGTTAGGAGACCTGGAGCAGCCGGGGTCCCCGGGGTCCTCTCGGCTGGCTTCACCCCCACCCCTGGGAACCCGGGAAGAGCCGGCTTTCGCTTCCTGTCTATTAAACCCTTTAAAGGAAGAGGGTAAATAAAACCGCCCGTCTGCCCAGCTGGAAAGCGATGACTCAGCCGCCCCCGCCGACCCTCGCCCCCAGGCTGATCCCAGAGAGCGGGCGTCGCGGCCCAGCCCGGACCCCTCGGCTCCCGGGACCTCTCTCCGGTCCGGGTCGTGGGGGCGCGGTGGGAGCAGTCCGTCCCCCAGTTCGGGACACTACGAGGGCGCAGGGAGGAGAGCGGGCTTCCTCTTCCCCTCCCATTTACTGAGCTCTGGGTTGCTGTTCTAGCCCTTTCCACGTGTTCCCTAATCCAGCAAAGGTGACTGTTCCCCCTGGGAAGGGCCCCCGAAGAGGACGGAACGGCCAGCGCTCGGGAGTAAGTAAGGCGGCCTCGACCCTCCTTCTGCCCCGGGAGACTGAGAGCGGCAGGGCTGGACTTGGGGCGCCTGGAGGGTGAAGGTCTGGACCCCGCTGTCTCCCCACGGTGGGCCGGCCCCGGGCCCGGGGGTGCTTCCCGGGGCTCCCTGGCGTGAGTCACCGCGGGTAGGGCTGGTTGCAGCGCATTCTTCCGCGGGGCCGGCCTGAGAGACGGTGCGGGCGAGCGCCCGGGCAGGGCGGGACCTCGAGTCACCCCACGGGGCTGGACAGCTGGGGCATTGGGGGCAACAGGAGCGCGGGCTTCTGAGATGGGAGGGGACGGCCGGGGACCGACCAGAGCGCGGACGTGCGGGTCCGGACGGCTGGGCTTGGGGAGGGTATGGCCTGGGGCGCGCGGGGCGCGGGCAGGCGGGGTGGCCCGAGGGCCGGGGCGGGGCGGGGCGGGGAGGGGCAGCTATAAAGGCCGCGCCGGGGCCACGAGGAGCAGATCCGGCGCCGCCACCTCCCAAGTTGCCTCTCGCATTGCCGCTCCCAGTCCCACGCCCGGCACGACATGAAGTCCCCCGACGAGGTGCTACGCGAGGGCGAGCTGGAGAAGCGCAGCGACAGCCTCTTCCAGCTATGGAAGAAGAAGCGCGGCGTGCTCACCTCCGACCGCCTGAGCCTGTTCCCCGCCAGCCCCCGCGCGCGCCCCAAGGAGCTGCGCTTCCACTCCATCCTCAAGGTGGACTGCGTGGAGCGCACCGGCAAGTACGTGTACTTCACCATCGTCACCACCGACCACAAGGAGATCGACTTCCGCTGCGCGGGCGAGAGCTGCTGGAACGCGGCCATCGCGCTGGCGCTCATCGATTTCCAGAACCGCCGCGCCCTGCAGGACTTTCGCAGCCGCCAGGAACGCACCGCACCCGCCGCGCTCGCCGCACCCGCCGAGGCCGCCGAGGCCGCCGTGGCCGCCGCAGCCTCCGAGCCCTCCGGGCCATCCCCGCAACCCAAGCCCCGCACGCCATGAGCCCGCCGCTGTGAGTGCCTGCCCGCGCCCCGGCGAGCCCCGCGCCCTAACAGCCCGGACGGGGGCCTTTGGGAAAAACCACTTCAACGTCAGACGGCGGGGCGGGGGGCGGGGGGCGGGGGAGCTGCATCTCCTCGGGGGACCCGGCGCCCCGCAATCGCGCTGGCCCCCTCGCGTCAGGGTCTCGGGGCCCCTCAGGCTGGACCCCGACCGGCCCTGGCACAGCTCCCTGACCCAGTCCTTTCCCCACAGGGCCGTACGCTGGACGAGTCAGACCGAGGCTAGGACGTGGCCGGCGCTCTCCAGCCCCGCAGCAGCAGAACTTCCCGTGCTCGCGGATCCTTGCTCCGTTGCACGGGCGCCTTAAGTTATTGGACTATCTAATATCTATGTATTTATTTCGCTGGTTCTTTGTAGTCACATATTTTATAGTCTTAATATCTTGTTTTTGCATCACTGTGCCCATTGCAAATAAATCACTTGGCCAGTTTGCTTTTCTACCATTCGGCTGTGGCTCAGTGACGTTCCTGCTGGGAGGGTGGAGGCCCAGGAATGGGTGGGCAGGACACCCTCATCCAGTCCTGCGGGACTGGCGTGAAAGGCGCTGGGAACTGGCTTTGAATGAATAAATGAATCGTGTCATCTGCTGGGCCTGGTCCACACCCTCTTTTCCAAGTATCCTCCCCAGAGGCCAGGAAGTGCCCTGGGGCTTGACCCTGGCTACCTTCTGCTCCTTGGTGTGTCCTGAGGAATTGAGCCTGGGGAGGACAAGGGCCCTGGGTCCGAGCTGCTGCTGCCTGTGGTGGGGGGACGTTCCCCAGCAGCCCTTCCTGCCCACATACCACCCGCGCAGCCAGACCAGAGGGAAGTGCTCAGCCCTCCGGTTGCCTGCTGCCAGTCGCTCCTGGCCAGTGCCCGCAGTGTGGGGCCGGCAGGGTCGCCTTTGCTTTTGGGAGAATAGGAGAGAGTTCTGGGCTGTCTCCGATGGTGGCGCAGGAGGCAGAGATCCCTCCACGTCCAGGTGCTGGCCCAGGACATTGGGGTGGAGAGGCCTGAGTGCAGCAAACCCCTGCCCCTCTTTCTGAGATAGCTGACCACGGCTTTCTGCCCTCCGGTCTGGCAGTGCTCCCGGAAAGACAGGGATGGTCTGAGACAGTTAGGGTTTGGGAAGTGTGTCCCCCACCCAGAAGGGCTCCTGGTGATGAACAAGCTGAGGAGGTGATAAGGGGTATAGGCATGACTCCTCGCCCCACAATGGGGCCTTCATTTCTGGAACCTTCGTGGTTGGAGGGATGCCAGTAGGGGAGGCAGAGAAGTACCAGAATTGGGCCCTAATCTCTGTTGCTAGGGGGCCAACGAAGCCTCCTAGCTGGTCCGGGGTCAGGGCGGGGAGGGTGCTAGCCCTTCGCTGCATGGCCCGTAGGAGTGTTGGTGCTAGGTCCAGAAGAAACTATTTCCTGCAAGGAAGTTTCTCCCGAACACAATTTGTGAAGCCCCTGTGCAAATGAGAGAGGGGATCCTGCAAAAAGCGGAAAAGAGCAGCAGGGGACGCTGCCTGGCTGGGCTCCTGGGCCTCCTGGCTGCCCCACCAGAGCCTCACCTGGATGGATATCCAAGGTCAAGAGGAGAGCCCTTGCCCCTGGGATCTTCAAGCATAGGCATGATCTGGCCTGAGCTTTAGGCAAAGAGGGTTGATGGCCCTTGGCTCACTGAGGCCACTTCTTGTTTGAGGAATTTTGGAATTCTTCAAATTCTGAGAACAGTGGAATTCTAAGGTTTGGGGAGTCCATGTTTTAACAGCTTCTTTTAAAAGCAGCCCGAGGAGAGAAGGGGCAGCCTTCGTGGTCTCAGGGGCAGCTGCAGACCCTCGATGAGGCTGTGGAAAGCCTGTTCTCTCCAGATGGGTCAACCGGTCACAGCGGCTGGGCTGGCCTTCTCATGCCCAGTTCTCCTTCTCTCCAGAACCCAGGGCCAGGGTGTGGGGGTGAGGGGTCGGGAAGTGCTGTGGTCAGGAGGCTGGAAGGCAACAGTGCATGGCCTGGCCAGCAAATCAGCTATAGAAGGGGCCCCCAATTCCTGGGCCACGGATGGGTACTGGTCCACTGGTCCGTAGCCGGGCCACACAGCAGGAGGTGAGCAGCGGGGCAAGCGACCACCTGAATTCTACCTCCCGCCAGATCAGCGGCAGCATTAGATTCTCACAGGAGGGAGAGCCCTGTTGGGAACGGTGCACAAGAGGGCTGAGCACTCCCCATGAGAACCTAATACCTGATGATCTGGGGTGAAACACTTTCATCTTGCCCAGCCACATCTGTGGAAAAACTGTCTTCCATGAAACTGGTCCCTGGTGCAGAAAATGTTGGGGGCCATCGAGCTATAGGTCAAAGAGGCTGAGAGAAGGGGACACCAGAGGAGTTCTGGGGTTCGGGAGGCTGGCAGTGTGTGGTGCAGTTCTGGGGTTCGGGTGGCTGGCAGCCTCCCTGGTGCAGTTCTGGGGTTCGGGTGGCTGGCCGTGTCTGGTGCAGTTCTGGGGTTCGGGTGGCTGGCCGTGTCTGGTGCAGTTCTGGGGTTCATGTGGCTGGCAGTGTCTGGTGCAGTTCTGGGGTTCGGGTGGCTGGCCGTGTGTGGTGTTCTGGGGTTCAGGTGGCTGGCCGTGTCTGGGGCAGTTCTGGGGTTCGGGAGGCTGGCAGTGTGTGGTGCAGTTCTGGGGTTCGGGTGGCTGGCAGTGTGTGGTGCAGTTCTGGGGTTCAGGAGGCTGGCAGTGTGTGGTGCAGTTCTGGGGTTCGGGTGGCTGGCAGCCTCCCTGGTGCAGTTCCGGGAACAGGGTTTGGGTTTGTGCGCTGGGCTGTTCAGCAGAGTGAGGGCATTTTTCCTGCCATCTAGGAACGCCTCAGTTCCCTGACCTTTTTTTTTTTTTTTTTTTTTTTTTTTTTTTTTTTTTTGAGACAGAGTCTTGCTCTGCTGCCAGGCTGGAATGCAATGGTGGGATCTCAGCTCACTGCAACCTCTGCCTCCTGGGTTCAAGCGATTCTCCTGCCTCAGCTTCCCAAGTAGCTGGGACTATAGGCATGCACCACCTCACCCAGCTAATTTTTTAAAAAATATTTTTAGTAAAGCAAGAATTTCACCATGTTGGCCAGGATGGTTTCCATCTCTTGACCTCATGATCCGCCTGCCTCAGCCTCCCAAAGTGCTGGGATTACAGGCGTGAGCCACTGCGCCCAGCCAGGTTCCCTGATCTTTTAAAGAAACCTGTTTCTGCTTTTGGGCAGGCACACTGTGGGCGGGGGTTGGGCAGTGAGCTCCCCATTGCTCCGGGTGTGAGCAAGAGCCGTGTGTGTGGCAGCAGGGGAACTCCTTTGTGGGCGGACTGTACTAATAACGGTGAGCCAATTTGGGTGATTCTGTCCTTCCCAGAGCTTTGCCCAGCTGTAGGCCCCCTCCTCTAGGAAGCCCTCCAGCCCCGAGGCCCCATCCCTCACTGAAGGACACAGGCAGACCATGCGACAGCCTGCAGAAACCAGACCGGAAGAGGTTGGAGGGATTTAGTAGGAGTTTATTGCCAGTCTGTGTCTGGGCAGCAGTCACCGGACTTTGTCCTTCCTCTGGGGCATAGGTTTCCTCCAGAGGACCAGAAGGACAAGGACATTGATAGCAACCTGCACGTGGCCGAAGATAGGGACGCCAAAGCTTCGGTACAGGAAGCCGCCGACGGTGGGCCCCAGCGTTCGGAGCAGTGGCTGCACAGACGCACAGAGGCCCAGCATGGCCCCTGGGGGGGTGCATGGGGGTAGTCAGGCCCTGGGCAGCTCCCTGGGCCGGCTACCCACTTCCTGGACACAGCCACGACCTCTCATCTCTCCTGACCCATCCCAACCTCACGGTGCAGTCTGCACCTTGCATAGTCTGGTGAAATACTCCCCCAAACACCCCTCCTTTCCACCTGCTGGCTTCTAACCTCCAGTCCCCCACTCCCTGCCACCTGCCCGGCCTTTGGAGCAAATGCAGCTCTCTCCACCCACTGGGCCATTCCCCGAGGACCTCTCAGCCATGCAGGGGGCTGCACAGGGTGCTTCCCGGGGCACTGGGCTGAGTCTCTTCCCTGCTCCAGAAAGTTTTCAAGCACAGGAGGAGCCTGGGAATGGGGCCACAGGTCACCGCAGCAGGCCCCGCCCTGCCAGGCCTGCCAAGGGAGATGGCATCTGTGCCTGGGGCCCGGAACCTCCCGCCCAGGGTGTCAGGGAGCTGGCTCTCACGGCTCTTTCCCAGGGTGCCTGCCACCACCGAGGGCTGGTGATGCAGTGGGGAGGCTAAGCCTGGCCTGTGAGACACCGTTGGGGCTTGAGTTCAGAGTGGGCATGACACCCCACCCCCATAGCCCCTCCTGGCCATCAGCCCCTCCTCCAGCCGCCCCCCTGCGGAGCTCCTACTACTCCAGGAACTCCTCCCACAGGGGGCTTTGGGAGCCCGTGCAGAGCCCCTCCACCTGCCCCTCCTGCAGCCCCAGCAAGACTGAGCCGCTTCCCAGGCTCCCCGGACAGCCCACACCTGCGCGGCAGCCTGCTCTGTCCCAGACACCCCATCTCCACACCCCTCTGGCCAGCGACCCCCAGCATGGACAGGCACATGGGCACTATCTGTGGCTGTTGTCAACACTCGGGCAACATGGGGGCAGCATTCACTGAACGGAGGACCCCCCAGGCCTCCAGCTGGGAGGACACTCTCTGCCTCTGGTCCCGTGCCCAGAGGGTCTCTGGCTCCAGGGACTTCAGAGCCCAGGTCTCCTGGAGTTGGAAATCCCGGGGCTGGTCAGCTGTGATGAGGAGCTGGCCAGGCCCCACCTGGGCTCAGGACCCAGTGTGGAGGATCATTAAGAGCAGCCTCTTCTGCAGACACAGGGTGCAGTTCCTGCCCCTTCTGTCCTCTGCCCCCTCTGTCGCTGGGTTTCCAGGCTGCTGCTGGGAACCAGGTGCTGGCTCCTTCCAGGCCAGGGGTGGTGTCTGTGCATGATGTGACCCAGTGGCCTGGGCCGGGTCTCCCTCAGCCTCCAGGGGTCTCTTCCCAGCCAGACCTGGTCCTTATCTCCCCAGGCCTTCCTCTCTTGTGCCCTCCTCCTGGCCTCTCCAAAGTGCTGCCCAACCTCCTCCAGGAAGCCCTCCTGGTTCAGCCCGCATCAGCCCATGCACTGTGGAGTCACAGTCCTGGAAGGCCTTAGAGGTTCCCAGGCAGTCCTGAGAAGAGGCCTGTCCTTTGCGGCCCGGCCACATCCAGGCCTCTAGACCTCGGTCTGCTGCCTCCCAGACAGGCAAGTGCATGGAGAGTCAGATGTGTACCCTGAGCTTCCTGGCGCTGCTGCTGGGGAGTCCTGGAAGAATCTCCAGTACTGCAAATGACTCCCTGACTCCTTTGACCTCAACCAGCCCACAGGAGCCCCCTGCACTGGCTAGTGTGTAGCCACACTGTGCCTGGGGTGGGGCAGGAGCCTGGGTACCATTGGGCCCAGGGCACCCTCAGTCTGCTTGAGGGGCTTTCTTAGGCCTCAAGAAAGAAAGCTGGGTCCGAAGTGGGGGCTGGGGGATCTATGTCTGGGGTACCTGTGTCCCCGCAGTGACCTAGGGGCTTCCTGGGTTTAATTACTGCTGTGCATTCATTCACTCACTCATTCCTTCAGGAAGCTCCTGAGCACTTGTGTGCCTGCCTCCATGCTGGGGGAGGGCCCAGAAGTCCCTGGGGCCTCCAGGTCTGGCAGGCAAGGCCCTTAGGTGCTTCTCAGGGCCAAGCCAACTGCCACCTCTGGGCAGCCCCCTCCCAGGCCCCTGGCCTGCCCTCAGCTGGGCTAGGTGGTAGGGCAGGAGTCTCATGCAGGACCCAGGCTGTGCGCCTTACCCACCCCACAGAGACCCCAGGCCCCCCACTCCACACACTCCACCCACCCCACACAGACCCCAGGCCTCCCACCCTACCCACCCCACACAGACCTTAGGCTGCCCACCCCAGCCCCACTAGGTAGCTCCTAGGGCTTCCTGGAGGAGGCTGCCCCACCAGCTGGCCACAGCTCACCTGTGTCCGAGGCAGAGACGGCCTTGGTCAGCATGCTGTCGGTGACCACATTGAGTGTGCAGAGGCTGAACACCAGGCCGGGTACCAGGAGGCAGAAGTGGAAGACGCTGGACATCCAGGCCTGGGACGGCAGGCGGGGCCGAGCTGAGTGGGGGCCTCACGGGACCAGGCTCCTCTCTGGGGTCTTACCTGTCCCTCTCCACCCTGACTGCTGCCCCTGCTGAAGAGCTGGCCCTGGGTGGGTGTGGAGGGGTGGAGGCGGCCCCAGGGGCTCAAGCACAGATGGCACCGCCCAAGTGGCCTTGCCCAGTGAGAGGGTCAGGTGAGGGGCCCAAAGCGAGGAGCCCTCACCATGGCCAGTCCCACCGCGATGAAGGCCAGCACGCTGGCCCGGAGCAGCGCCTCCTCCGAGAAGTGGCTGCTCAGCTGTCCGATGACCAGGCCCTGGGTCACCTAGACCAGACAGAGAGGGTAGAAGTGGGTATGGGAGAGGCGAGGGAGGGGCGTCTGGACTGTGGCCAGCCCCCCAAGCAGGGGACCTCCAGACTGGCCTTTGGTGGCCAGGGCCCCTCTGCAGAGAAGGCCCCTCAGCATCTGCAAGCCCCGGGGTCTCTCCCCACCCTGCCAGCAGTGACTGCGTCAGGATGGGTCTGAGGTCCCTGAGGAGATGGGGCTCCTCTCCACAGGGAGGAAGGAAAGGCCCACACCAGGGACACCAGGGATGGACCCAGTGGGACAGGCTCGGCCACAGGCTGCTCCCAGGCCAGGGCGAGGCTCCCTGTTGGGTCATCTCAGCTCCTCCACCGAGCAGGGTGTGCTGGGCCAAAGCACCTGGGAGTGCAGGGGTGGCCCCCGCTGGAGGAGTTCCTGGGCTCAGTATCTGCCTGCAGGGCAGGCCCAGCCTGCAGCACCTCTGCAGGGCACCAGTCACTCTCCCCACTTCCTGCCCGGCAGAACAGAAATTGCTTCCAACAGGAATCATAAATGGTTTAAAAATCTTACCTTCACACTTGCTTTATCTTAGGGTTTTTGGGGATTTTAACACGTTTTTAAAAGGAAGAGCTGGCAAGTTTCACTTCGTGCAATGTGCTTAGGAGTAGCTCACGGTGAGTGCCGTGAAGACCTCAAGCCAGGACTCAGACACCAAGGCCAGAAGCCTATTTGTGTTGCGTCTCAATTTACCCAAAATAAGTTTTAAAAAGCTTGAACTTAGGAGCCCTGCAGGTTATGACATGAACCTGGAGCTAACAAGCCTGTCCCTGGCCGGACGTGGGGCCTGGGGGCTACTCTGCGGGCCTCTCCTTCCCCTCCTCAGCCTCCTCTCCTGTTGCTCAGCCTGTGTCGGGGTCCCCAGGCCTCACCTCACTCCTTCCCCGTCCCTGGGCAGTTCACCAGGCCCAGTTCCTGCGAGGGTGTCCCGATAGTGTTGGTTACCACCCCAGCTCTGTCTCAGGCAGGGGCCCTACTGCAGCCATGGCAGGCCCAAGTGCCCCACAACACAGGCTAATGACTGCAGTGTCCAGCCCAGCTGCAGACTTCAGCCAGGGTCTGGCTAATCATCCTTCCCTGCAGTGAGCTGGGCGCAGCCTGTTCAGAACAGGCCCCATGGCACCAGCCCCGGATTGTTACTATTATTGTTGCTGTTGTTGTTTTTCTGTTTATCTCTTTTTACCCTGCCAGGGTGGCTCCTCCTGGCCCACAAAACCGAGGCCCTCCCTGCCCACGGTGGGGGTCTAGCCCCTCCCAGGAGCAGCTATTTTAGCACTAGTCTAGTCCTGGGTCCAGAGGCTGAAGAGCAGATGACTTGGAGGTGCCAGGAATGCCACAGGCTTCCGGAGAGGCCGAAAGCCCCTGCCCCCACCCCAGTGGGTCCCAGAATAGCCCCCGCCCCATGCTCTGGCTGTCAGGCGGCCATCCCGGGTGGCAGCACGTCATCACCTGTCCCCACCACCCCAGGGTCTGGTCCAGATGCCCAGAGGAGCTGGTGGTGGAGGTGGCTCGCCCTGGCCTGGTAGCTGAGCGGTTCTTGGGGGGCAGACAGGACACCTGCCGCATCGGAGCTGCCAGGGTTTCAGGGCATTCTTCCATGACAGCGTGGCCTCTGAGGGCTGGCATCTTGCTCCTGTGAGACCTCCAAAGGGGCCCACACTGGTCTAAGCACTTTGCCCACTTTGCCATGTTAGGTCATTTCATCTGCCAAGGACCCTGCAAGGCGGGCACTTTGGCCTCATGGGACAGATATGGAGCGGTTGGGAGACTTGCTGTGGTCACACAGCTGGTGGGCAGGTGGGCTGCCACAGACCCCAGCTGGCTGCCCATCAGAGGCCAGAGTCCACTGTCCTCACAGCGTGCCCACCACTGCAGCTGGCTCTGCCTCCCTGGCCTGTATGCCTGGTTCCCTGTGGGCCCTGACATGTACCAGATGGGAGGCCAAGGGCTCGCCAGCCTCCACCGGGGAGGAGCCTCTACTCTCAGAGGCCTGCCCCACTGGAGACCCCTGCCATGCCCCCCAGGAGGCCCTGTGTACCCACTCACCATCTGGAGGAGCCCGAAGAAGGACATGAGGTAGCCAGCTTGGGCGGCCTCCAGCTGGAAGAAGTCCATGGAGATGATGGAGAACATGACCATGAAGAGCCCTGAGCCGGGGCAGGGGAATGGGGTGAGCACCCCCACACCCCGGCCTTGGCGCCCACCTCCCTCCCACCTCAGCAGCCTGGCCAATCAGGGTGTCTGGGTCCTGGCCGGTGACTGGTTCAGGGAGGGGCCTGTGATGCCAGCCGGACCAAAGAGACCCTTCCCTGGGATTCTGCCGGATCTCTGGTGTGGGAAATGCCTCCCATGCAGTTGCTAAGCTCTGGACTGTGAGCGGGAAGGTACTGGAAGGGAGGGACCCAGGGCTGACCATGTGGGAGGATTTGGCCCCAAGACCCACTATGGCTGTCTATTATAACAGCCCTCAAAGTCACATCTGCAATCCCAGCACTTTGGGAGGCGAAGGAGGGGGGACTGATTGAGGCCAGGAGTTTGGGACCAGCCTGGAAAACATAGTGAGACCCTGTCCCTACAAACAGTTAAATTAGCTGAGGGTGGTGGCGCATGCCTGTAGTCACAGCTGCTCGGGAGGCTGAGACAGGAGGATTGCTTGAGCCTGTGAGGTGGAGCCTGCAGTGAGCTGAGATCATGCCACCGCACAGCAGCCTGGGCAGTGGTCTCAAAAAACAGGCCCTCAAAGGGCCTGTTACTGAGGTTAGTAACTTGGGTTCCAGTTTTGAGAACCAACAGAGCTGGCCTGGGTGGGCTGGGTGGGACAGAGGCCGGGGCCAGTCAGAGTGCTGAGGGCCTGTTCTCCATCCTGCTTCCTGGCATCCCAGTTAGAGGAGCCCAGGCCGGGCTTCTGAGGGACAGGGCTGCTCCTGGGCTTGTCCATGGCTCGCTATCCTATCTGTGGTCTGTGACAGCCTAGGGTCTGCTGGGCCAGCATGCTTCAGAAGGTGGTGTTGACACTCAGACTTGCTGTCCCTGCGTCTCAGGCTGTCTGCAGAGCACGTGGGGCCACAGGGTAGGAGGGTGAAGAGCTGAGGAGTATGCAGGGGTGCATGGCTGCGAGCCAGGCCCTCTGCCTGTGGGGACCCTCCCTGGGATGTGCAGCTGCACAGTGTGGAGGGGCTGGAAGGAGGCGGGAAAGACCCTTTTCTGCCTTCCTCCCGCTCCTGCCTGCTCTACCACGTCCGCGTGGACCTGTGGGACACGGGCCAGAGGAAGGGCTAGGCCCTGGCCGCAGCTGGAACTCTGCCAGGCTCTGGCCGCCGTCGGGGCAGTAGTTGGGGCTCACCTGTGGGGAAGTTGGAGGCCACCTTGACCAGGAAGATCCTCGGGACATCTGGCAGCCGCAGCAGGGAGGCGATGGCCTTCAGGTCAAACACACTGGCCCGGGGGCCGCCTGGCACGGAGAGGCCGTTGTCCCAATGCCCACCCCTCACCCAGCTGCAGGCCTCGCCGCTCCTAGGCTCCTGTTGCGTCCCCCTGGGTAGAGCTTCCTTCCTTGGCTTCAGTGCCACTCACTTGTGGGAATGGGAGCTGGTGATGCTCCCAGCCCCGAGGTGGGCACCGCCCCTCAGCATACTGCCACGCATTCCTAAGGGCCCCCTGAATCCCCAGAGGCACTCAGGAAAAGCATTCTCTGCATGCAGGTAGCCTGGCCTCAACCTGGGCTTGTAGGGGTGCAGGCCTGTGGCAGTCCCTGAACAAGGGACCAATAGCTGCTTCCTGTATGGTCCTGGCCTGGGACCTGGGGCCGAGCATGACCAGGCCACCAGCCCAGAGGAAGACAATGGCAACGCTGCGCCCCTCTCTGTGGCCACAAGTCACCGCGGTGGCCTGGCCAACTGGACACCTTCGAGTGCAGAGCCGCGGGTCCCCAGCCCGGCTCACCGCATTCTTCCTCGCTATTTCCCCAGGGGCTCCTGCCTCTCTGGCTCTGCTGTGTTTGCCACAGGCCGAGCTCCACCTGGCCCTCCCCCTGGACTTTCTAGGTTAATTCCATCACAGCCTCCTGTCCCAGGATGACCCCAGGTGGGTCCCTCCGTCCCAGGCTGAACTCTTAGTCCCTAGGCACCGAGGCATGGGTCCTGCCACGTGCCTGGCACTCAGGGGCTGGGTTCAGCAGGGGGCCAGCCTTCAGGGGAGCCCCTCTGAGGAGCCTTGGCCTCTCCTCGTGGGACCAGCCTGACCATCGTCTGCCCTCCACCAATCAGTGCCCTTCGGGCAGAACCCTCACCTCTCCCTGGACACTCAGAGCCTTGGAAGCCTTACTGATCCACCCACCCTGTTGGGGGTCCCTCCTGGTCCTCCCCAGGCCTCTCTGAGCCTCCCCTCCTAATGCCTTCCCTGTGTGGGCCTCCCCCCTCTCTGGGCCTCCCTGCTTGCCAGAGCCCCACTTCCACTTCTTCATGACCACACCTCACTTGGCTCCTATGATGTCAGCAGCTGGGAGGGGTTCAAGGAAGTTAGGAGGGTGTGTTAGCCCCCAGATTTCCCCTCAGGCCCCTGTGCCCCTTGGCTGGAGCATGTAGGCCTAGCCAGTGCCACCCATAGACCCAGCATCTGGGCAGGGTTTACCTGGTGGGGCTTACCTGGCGGTGGAGTCTGAGTGTCAGTTTTGGTCCCTTTGGTGCTGGCGGGGATGCAGGTGAAGCTGAGGATAGCTCCCAGGAGGGTGGCCAGGGCAGCCAGGATGGCCGGGCACTGAATCCTGCGGGCAACAGTCTTGGCTGCACAGGGCGCGGGTCCCAGGGCCCAGGCGCCCCAGCCACATCCCCCAACCTGCGCCTTCAGTCACACTAAAATAGCTTAAACCTGACTCCCACATCTCCACAGTCTGTGGCCCAAAAAGCGGGGACTGGGACCCTCAGAGCACATTTATTAGGTGATGGATGAAGGAACGGGTAGGGCGCTCACTATCCCTGACCCTCACCACACCATGCAGGCCCCGGCAGCCCCTGTGGGTAGCAGGCAGCAGATCCTCCCAGGGACAGCAGCTCCCTGGCTGGTCAAGGTCAGGAGGGGCTCCAAAGGGCCAGCCTGGTCTGCGTGCCCTTGGGAGGGGCTCTCCGAGACCTCGGCACCTGTGCTGTGTCACGGGGATGGCCATGCTGCCTCCCCAGAGTGGGCACCGGTGGGCCTGGCACTCAGCGGGCCCTCAGAAATCACCTCCCCTCCTGTCAGACCCCTCCCCACTTTCCAGAGTGGGTGGGGCATGCTGGGCCTGGTGGGGGCTTTGGGCTGGGATCCCAGAGCCTTGCAAAGCTGCAGATGTGCCCCTCAGGCTGCTTTGCCACGTTCCCACTTGCCTGGGCCACTACCAAGGCCGGTGACTCTGGCTCTGCTGTCAGCTTCCCTGCCATGAGTCCCCACCTGGAAACTCGGCCTGTGATTCTCCTGGAAGGAACCAGCAGACTTTGTCACCTGGGAACACAGGCACGTGGAGCTGGCTGTTCCGACTGTCACCTTTGCCTCCTGGGGGCTGAACCAGCCCCCTCCCCTCAGGAGAGACAGGAGGAAATCGGGGCTTCCTACTGAGCTCGCTTGTAAGGCCTCCAGGCCTGTGCCGGACTGCCACAGCCTCCCTCTCAGCAGCTGAGCAAACTCCTATACAGCCTGTAAGGGCCCCTCTTGGTGAGGCCCCAGCCTTCCTTCCCAGACAGCATGCCATCTGAGAAGGACTCACTTTACCAGTTGGCTAGAATCTGGCCCCTGAGGGCAGGTGGGCTGGGGTGGGACCCTGCATGGAGACCGCAGTGATCATCCGATGATTGGAGAGATGTGTGAGCCAGTCACACAGGCAGCACAAGTTCTGCCCCAACCTCAACAGAGCCTCCAAATCTGCCCTGGCCAGGGCCTCAGGGCACAGACACCAGGAGGGGTCAGGATCCTGGAAGATGCCCTTGCACCCGAAAACAAGGCCAGCCATAGGCCACCGTGTCCCCACCAAGGAGTTCAAAGAAAGGACTTTCCTCCGCCCCCCTTCACCACAGCCACACGTGCATGCACATATGCACACACGCACACATACACACACGTGCACATACACACACGTGCACACACACACGCGTGCACACACGCACAATACACGCACGTGCACACGCACACACATGCACATATGCACACATGCACACACACATGCACACACGCGCACACACATGCACACACGCACGCACACATGCACACATACACACGTGCACATGCACACACATGCACATATGCACACATGCACACATATGCACACACGCACACATACACACACGTGCACACGCACACATACATGCACACACGCACATGCACACATGCAAACTTGTACACATGCATTGACATGCACCTGTTTGCCAGAGCAAGGAAGGGACTTGGTGCCACACTGACTAGGACCGTCAGTGGGGCCACCTCTGGGTCCAGAGAGTCTGGGCATTGGCCACCCCTCATTTCTCAGGCAGGACCCCTGAGCTCACATCAGTATGGGGTGGGCCGGCACATCCACCCGGCCTGTGCTGCTGCCCCCGCCAATCCATCAGGGCAGCTCTGACCTCCGCAGCACCCATGGCCCAGGACGTCACCTACTCGGGCTTTCTGGCTGCTGGGTTTCTGCAAGAATGGGCCCTTCCTTTGGGAAAATGCCAGGGAAGGGGCAGGGGTGGGCTAGGGCCCCACAGCTTGTCCCTCCAGCTGGGAGGGACACCCGGCCCCTGTGGTCAGCCCCAGAGAGAAGGGCCCTTTCTTTGGGATCCTGGCCTCAGAGGCCTGCATGTCACATCTCAGGGTCTGGCTGGGCAGGGGCAAAACCTGCCTTCTTTGCCAGATGCCCCAGAAGTACACGGGAGCAGAGGCACCACTTCGATGGCTATTTTAGGAGGCTGGTGACAAGCAAGGCGTGGTGGCAGGGATCCAGGCCCTCGAGTGGTGGTGGGCAAACCAAAGGCCAGTGCTGCCTGGGACTGGGGGACCCTGGAGGGCCCCAGGAGGGAGGGAGTCAGGGCCGCAACTGTGCTGGGGGCTGCAGGTGGCTGCTGGGGGAGAGGCAGGCTGTCCTTCCCCAGTCAGAGCTCTCTCCTGCTCTCCACAAACAAACTGCCGGGAGGGAAACGGGAGTGGGAAGGAAATCCAGCACGTTGTCCTCAACCCTGGGGCTTCTGCACGCCGGACAGCCTGGGCATCCCCCAGCACCCTGAGCACAGTGCAGTCAGTCCCTCCTGCTCAGTCCCCCTCAACCTCACCCCGATCTGCCAGATGCAGGGGCACCAGGGGTGCATCCAACACTTTTATCAATGGAGCCACGACCAGCAAGATGGGGACAGGTTAATTTGTCTGTCCTCCGCTCCTCTTTCGGTTGAATGTATTACAGGAGTGTCTATCTGGACACATAGATGCTGCTGAAAGGACACTGGACACGACTCAGGAGACCCAGAGCCTCTGTCCCTTCTCTGCCGCTCACCTGCTAGGTGACCTCCTTTCTTTATATGCAAATATGGGCTGGGCTCACAGCTGCCACTGCCCCTCACTCTCCTGTTCTGGGGCCCCTCTGGACCTGCGGGGCCCAGTCCACCTGCATCCCGCCCACCAACCGCAGCCCACACCTGACGCTGCCCAGACAGCAGGGGGTAGAGCTGGCTTTCAGCCGTGTCTCCAGGAACCTCTGGTGAAGTCTGGACTCCTGTGTGGTCTACAGTAACAAGCCCTCATCAAGCCTCACCTTGCTCTGAGGCTCTGAGAGGGGACACACAAGGTGACAACATATGCCCAGGTCATTCTGCTGCCAGGAGCAAACCCACAGGCGGGGCCAAGGCTGGATCAGCTGGGACCTGGCTTCACGGGACACCTAGCTCATAAGAGGACGGGGCAGGGGGGCGTACAGAGCGTCCCTGGATGTCCAGCCCAGGGCCGGGAGAAGTCACCCATGCCCCAGGATGCTGCAGTTAGAACCATGTTTGAAAAAGAACATCTTGCCATGCCACTCCTAACTCAATTGCCCTCTGGCTTCCAGGGTGCCCCAGAAGGTCCTAAAGGCCCCTCTGGCCAGACCCTTCCCAGTCCTTGTGTCTCCAAGTACCTGGTCCTCCCATTCCCCAAACACATAGCCCTCCAACCAAACCGCAAGCTCCCTCCTGCCCCAAATGGGCTCTGAGACTGGAGTGACTCACAGGCCCAGCAGGAGGCCTGTCCGGCCCACTGCTCACCAGGGCTGTCCTGAGGGATGGCTGGGCCAGAACCATCTCAGCGGGGCCTGCTCCCTCCCTGCTGCGGGAAGAACAGAAAGAACCGGAGTGTCCTGGGCACTGGGAGGCACACGGACTAAGGCAGTGGCTGAGTCACCTGGCTGGGGTGGGAGCGGGCCCGGATCCCCCGTATCCTGCTGCCCCCTCAGCTGCCTGCCAGCCCCTGCCCTGTGTCTACCTGCCCCCAAGAGCCCCTTCCCTGTACAGCAGGTGCCCTGTTACAAGCACCCGCACTCCTCAGCCTCTGCTCAGCATTTGGGGTGCCCTGTGTCATATGGGGTGCTGCTCACTTCCCCTCCCACCCCCTCCTGCCCCTCTGAGCTCCGGTGCCCCGGCTTCTCATTTTTTCTCAGCTGGGCAGGGGTGTCCTGCCCACAGGGCCCTGGCACCCCCATAGGCATTGCCCTGATGGCTGCCTGTCCACCCAGAGAAGGCAAACTCCCTGCTGTCTGGCTCGGGATAGGGCTCTACGGCCTCTCCCCATGCCTCCCCAGGCTGAGAGGATGGGCTCAGAATATGAGTCACAGAGCCACCCCCCACCCAGCGTGTGTGCAGTGACTCAGGTCCCGGGTCCCTCCCCAGGCCAGCCTGGCCTCTCAGCCCTGGGCTCTGGAGGCTGGGCCAAACCAGTTATACCAGTGCCCGCCCCCGCAGCCTGTGGGTGCCAAGTCCACTTCCTCCTCCCACCTGCTGCCCAGGTGGGTGTGGATGAGGCAGCACTGGGGCCTTTCAGGGGAATAGGATACATAGGTGGGTGGGCAGGGAGGGAGATCCCATGCACATCCTGCCTCGGTTTCCATTAAGGAAGAGCAGGAAGGCTGCAAGGCAGGGGGTGTTCACAGCTGCACCAGACTCCTGTCCTGCACTAGGCCAGGAGCCAGAGCAGGCTGGGGGCGTCAGGGCTGCCGGACCAAGAGGGCCAGGGGGCTGGCCCTTGACATGGGGCACCAGGCCTTGAAGCCTGGCCAGCACCTGGCCCCACTGCCTTTGGTGAGCCCCCAAGGAGGAGGTGTGGGCCTCCCTCACCCCATCTGGGTTGGACAAAGGCAGAGTACCAGCTACAAGCTCACCCCCGCAGCCCTCCCGTGTCACCACCACTCTGGGCAGCCAGCTCGTGCTACAGGGCCCAAGCAGCACCCCATGTCTTGGGCGTGGTATGAGGACCCTGAGGGAGTCCCACACTGCCTGGGCCTTGGATGGGGACTGGGGAGCTCCACGGAGGGAGGACCATCTCCCGGGCCTCAGTTACCCCACCCATCAAAGGAAATGTCGCAGCTGGTCTGGTTATGAACCATCAAGGTTGTAAAGCGCCTCAGATCTTGGGATGAATGGAGGCAGGGAAGCGAATGGAATGTTCTGGCAGGTGTGGGCAGAGGTAGAGGCCGTCTTGGCAGCTACTGGGAGGGAGAGGGACATGAGTAGTGTCTTCTGGGTCAGCAGCTGGGATGGGGGAAAGGGCAGGTGAGGACAGGAGGGGACCTGTGGCCTGGTAGCTGGGCCTGCAGGAGGCGTGCATGCTGAGCTCTCCAGCATCATGGCCACACTCACCGCCTGAGCGAGCTCAGACCCTCCCAGCATCCTTGTGGGTAAGGGCAGGGGAGGGCCCACTTAATGGGTGAGGAAGGCTGGCCAGGGAAGGAGGCGGCAGCAGGCGGCTGGGCCCTGAGGCGGCAGAGTCCCCGGGGTGGGCAGCACCCTGGGAGGGCGGCCGCCCAGCTCAGCCACCTGCTGGGGCCCAGCGCTCCTCCCCGTGCCCTTCTCACGCCCTTCCTCGCCCCGGCCACCCTGGAGAGGCAGGCCCTGGGTAGTGCCGGCTCCCCATGCCTCACACCTGCCAGCCCCCTGGCTCCAGGGGGAGTGGTCCCTGCTGTCCCACCACAGCTGCCCACGCAAGTGCCCTAAGCCCCATCCTCCAGGGACACCCTACAGCAATGTGCTTGACTCCCACATCAGCCCTTCCCTCTCCCCGGGACGCCTTCCCATGGCTCCTCCCGCCCTAAGCATAGCCTCCTGGACCCCTCTCTGCCCTCGTTTACAGCACGACTTCCCGAACCCCTCTCCTGTCTCCCCATTTCCCTTGACCCGTCTATTGCATGAGGCTTCTGCAGCTGGCACTGGCATGGGGGATGGGTGGTGCTCAGAACTGGGATGGCCTCCCTGCTGCAGATGCTGGGCCACTGTGGCTTCCTTGGCCACCAGTGGTAGAGGCACGGGTCCCTGACCCCCACAAATCCTGTGACCCTTGGCTCCCAGGACATGCTCCCTCCTCGCCTCCCAGCCCCAAAACATGAAGTGCTGGGGGGCGCAGGGCTCCAAGTCATCCATACTTGAAGATGCATCCCGTTTCTCCCCCTTATCTGGGTGCCTACTCAGTAGCTCCCTGGAGTGCCTGACAGGCACCCAGGCTGGGCCCGAACAAGACCCAAATCCCAGTGGTGCCCCAGGCTGCTTGGGCCTCTGCACAAGGCTGCCAGTCTCCCCACAGTCAGGCACAGCCTTGACACTGCCGTCTTGAGTTCACACCCACATCCCACCCACTGGCAGAACCAAGCCAGAATCTGCCCTCTGCTTTCTCTCACCACGATCACCTCTAGTCTGGCCACCATCCTCCCCAACCTGGGCCGGCACAATGGCTGCCTTACTGGTCTTCCTATAGGGGTGCTCACCCCCCATTCTCACCCCTGCTGTGCCACCCAGGGCACCCCGGCCTGGCGCCTGCCCCTCCTCCCTGCCTCCAGCCACACGGCCCCCTGGCTTCCACACTCAGGGCCTCTGTACCGTGGTTTCTTTGCCTCCTTCACCTGCTTCAGGCCTCGACTCAGATGCCACCTCCTCGGACAGTCCCTAGTGACCCCATCCATTGAGCCCCCCGTTCTGCTTTGTGACTTTTTGCTCCATGTAGCTCAGCCTGATGTTACGGGAATTCCTATCACATTCCATTCATCCCAGGGACTCAGCCTGTGTTGTCTGCTACTGTATTCTAGAACCAGAGTCCTGGGGGCAATGTTTAGGTGTTCGGACAAACTGCCCACCCCACCCTACTCCACATGCTGCTCACAGCCATCAGCAGCCACTAGTCCCCAGCCCAGGCTCTAATGAAAATGCTGGGAGAACGTTCAGGGGCTCAAACAAGGCCTGCAGCACAGCCCTAGAGCCCTCCGGAGAAGGAAGTGTGCTAACAAGGCCACTGTGCCCTCCCGGCGCTGATCCCTGGGGCTGTGCCAGCGCCCAGTGGCCTCCACCATTGTTAGGGTTTGTCTCGAGGTCCTGGGGGTGCCTGGCCTGGGAACTGCGATCAGTTCATCCAGGACTGGAGAGCCTGCTGTCCACAGAAGTGCCTGCCTCATGCCAAGGGGCATCTCCAATGTGAGGGGGGTTCAGATGCCAGAAAGACTCCACTCCAGAATGGAGCCTCAGGGAAACTCACAGGCCAGCAGAGGGTGGGGGTCGCCAGCTGGCGCAGGGCCTGGGAGACCCCGGGTGTATAATACAAAGCTGGGGGCAGGGCACAGTTGTGACTTCATCTACTGTCCCAAGACCATGCCGCTACTATCAGGATTTACATTTCAGAGCTGAGGAAACTGAGTCAGGAAGAGCTCCCAGAAGGAGGCAGCAGATCCATGGATCCTCCTTATCCCGCCAGAGTCCCTGCTGTGGTCCCCCTCCCGGGGGCACCCTCCCTGGGCCACCCTCGCAGCCTCCAGGGACAGCTAGCAAGGGACCGTCAGGAGGCAAAATGGGAAGCCTGGCATCCCCCCATCCTCCTGCTGCCCGCCTGGGCGCCCCCTGGACTCTCCACTCTGGGCACTGTCCAACAGCTCAGCCCCACTGCCACAGCATCCCGGTCCCCGGGTGCTCCTGTCCCCAGCAGGAGGCTGCTGGGAGGCCTCCCTCCTCTCAGGGCCTCAGTTTCCCCAGCGTCCCAATGGGGCTGTGCGTGGACAGCTTCACAGTCAGTCGAGCCCCGGACAGCACTGAGACATCACCTGGCCCCATCCAGGGCCAGCTCGGGAGGTCAGGCCTAGGCCTAGCGCGGAGCCAGGTGTCCCCTTTAGCGACATCACGTGGCCACTCGTGCCCCCGCGGGTTCCCAGCCCAGCCCGCCCGACGAGCAAAAAGGGAAACCGAGGCCGAGAGGGGGCGGGGCCGACTCAGCCGCTGGCGTCCTGACCCGCAGCCTCTGTCCCGGGCCCCTGCCACTCACCCATACGCGGAGACCAGAGTCCCGCCCAGCAGGGAGCCGAGGATGACGCCGACGCCGAAGCAGAGGCCGAGCCGGCCCAGGGCCGCAGGCCGCTCCTCCGGTGCAGACAGATCCGTGATGACCATCTGGGCAGCTGGGGACGGGGCGGGGGAGCTGAGCAGGGAAAGCCCCTCGGTGGGCCCCTCCCCCACCCACCTCCCCAAGCCCTTTCCACCACTGACCTGCCCTTCCACAAGCCTCGCCCCACGTCGCCCCCACCCCTGTCCAGCCCTTAGGGCCAGACCCCGCACGCACGCAGACCTCCCTGGCGGTGTCCTGGGTCCTCCGCAGGCTGCCCCTACCTGGCCCCACCTGGCCCCCAGTCCCCAGGCCCTACCTGGCAGCGTGTGCATGAGCGCTCCGGGCAGTCGGGAGGCGAAGAGCAGGTAGACCCCGGGCAGGGCCGGGCTGGAGGCGGCTGCCAGGAGCAGGTAGAGCGCCAAGGCAGCCAGGAAAGAGAGCGTGAGCGCCGCCCGCGCCCCGCGCTGGTCTGCGAACCTGGGGTCCAAGGGGCGGGTCAGATCCTCACGGAGGCAGTCACGTCTCCCCTTCCCCCCGTCCAGGGGCTGCCCGAGCGGCGCTGACCAGGGAGGCTGGAGTGCGGATGGGGATGGACGGCCGGGAGGCCTGGGCGGCTGCTGGGAGGCCTCCCTCCTCTCAGGGCCTCAGTTTCCCCAGCGTCCCAGTGGGGCTGTGTGCAGACAGCTTCACTGAGCTGGGAGTCTGACCCAGGGCACAAAGACCAACTCCGTGTAAAAATAAATGGTAGAATCCCAGAGGACCAAGGGATGGGCCGGTGTTTTACAGGAAGTGTTTCCCAGGTTGGGTCTGAGAAAGCAGAGCCTTTCTCCCTCCTGTTCTGAGCCACTGGAAACCCTCAGACCTCTGCCGGTCTGCTGCCTGCGGAACCCTTCATTTCCGCCTACCGGTTGCTCTGAAGAGGCAACTCCCATTATGTGTCCCTTGCTCCCCTGTCCGCTGTGGCTTGTGGAAGGATGTCCCCATCCCGTCCACGCTCAGTGTTCCCACAGCACTGAGACCCAGGGTGTATGGGGCCCCCAAAGTCCCTCCTGCCTGGTCTCAGCAGGCCTATTACAGCCACAAGGTGTTCGCCAATCACACTGTCTCTGTGGCCACAACCAGGATTAGTGGAAGGCATGGGTGGGACACCCAGGGAGCCTACCGGGAGCCAAAGTTCTTGTGCACCCCCACCGGCCTGGGACCCAGAAGTGCCATCATCCCAGGGGGGTCTGGTATGGGGTCGGGGAACCTGGCCAGTCCGAGCCCATGGCGTCTGAGAAGGGGCCTGGGTCATTGTGGGGAGAGCCCCCTGTACACACACACACTGTACCTGCCAAACACTGGACCGCCCAGCAGCTGCAGCACCCCAAAGGTGGTTTGTAGGTAGCCAAAGGCAATGGAATCCAGGCCCAGTTTCCGAGACAGGTACTGAAACACAGGAGGGAGCCCAGAGGGAGGGGCTGGGAAAGACTGCAGGGCCTGGAATCTGGGGTTCCCGGATGGGCAGGAGGTGGCAGGGGACCAAGGGCCTGAGCTCTGTTGACTACACAATACGACTATCGAGGGGCCCTTCCCAGGGGGACCCTGCTCCTCCTCTCCTAGGTGGAAGCCTGTGGTGGCCTTTAGGGTCCTTGCTACTCCTCTCCTAGGCGGGAGCTCATGGTGGCCTCTAGGGTCCTTCCCCTCTGCAGGGCACACCTCAGAGAGGCACCTGACCCCCACCATTTTGTCTTCATTCATTCAAAACTTTGTGGGGAAGCCAGCAGCACTGTCCTGGCCAGCAACAGATTGTCCCAAGGCCCCCAAGTGACCTCCAAGAGGTGGCCTATTGCCCAGCAGCACACAGTCTGCTCTGTGAGGCTCCAGCCCCCCAGCCCCTCGGGAGGAGTAGGTCCATGACAGCATTCCTCCCAGGGACACCCTTCTATCTTGCCCTAATTCTCTGTGACTTTGGCCCCCCTGCAGCCACTCCTCCCCCTGCCCCTGCCTCTGAGTTCCCAACCCTCCTTCCAGTGATGTCACTTATTATGGGCTTCATTGTGTACCCCCCAAATTTATATGCCTTAACCCCCAGAACCTCAGAATGTGACATTCTTAGGAAACGGGGTCTTTACAGAGTTACTCGGGTCACAGTGAGGACATGAGGGGAGCCCTGATCTAATGTGACCGGTGTCCTCATTAGGAGGAGAATTTGGGACACAGACACACTCGGAGGGATGATGCTGTGAAAACCCATAGGAAGACAGAGTGATGTGGCCACAAGCCAAGGGATGTCTGGGCTCCCAGGGGCTGGAAGAGTTGGGAAGGCTCCTCCCCCGTGGGTTCCAGAAGGAGCCTTGATCTCACACTTCTGGCCTCCCAAACTGTGAGACAATAGGCTTCTGTTGCTCTAAGCCCCCAGGGTTTTGGATACTTTGTTACGGCAGCCCCAGATGCTAATACACTGTCCCCTCCCCCAACCCTGGACCTTTCCCTAAACTCAGTCTTGGGGTCCCACTCCCCTTCTTTCCACTGTCCCCCTTGGTCCACAAGAATTCTCCCCAGTGCGCTTCAGTCCCAAGGGCAGTCAGTAACCCCTCCGTCCCCCAACCCCAGAGTCCTTCCTTCAGCTCCATCCCTGCTCCTGCAAGGATGGGAAAGTCCCCCTGTCTGCCAGGTCTCCCTTATGTTTGTGAGCTTGACCTGACAATCACCCCACATTCCCCTAGTAAACCTTTGCCTCCTCCATCCCTCCCCTCCCCTGTGCTGCTAGTGTGAGGATGCTGAGCCTCTCCCTTTTTTTTTCCTTTTTTCTTTTTTTAATTATATTTTAAGTTCTAGGGTACATATACACAACGTGCAGGTTTGTTACATATGTATACATGTGCCAAGTTGGTGTGCTGCACCCATTAACTCATCATTTACATTAGGTATATCTCCTAATGCTATCCCTCCCCCATCCCTCAACCCCACGACAGGCCCTGGTGTGTGATGTTCCCCACCCTGTCTCTAAGTGTTCTCATTGTTCAATTCCCACCTATGAGTGAGAACATGTGGTGTTTGACTTTCTGTCCTTGCAATAGTTTGCTCAGAATGATGGTTTCCAGCTTTATCCGTATACAAAGGAACTCATCCTTTTTATGGCTGCATAGTATTCTGTAGTTTAAATGTGCCACATTTTCTTAATCCAGTCTATCATTGATGGACATTTGGATTGGTTCCAAGTCTTTGCTATTGTAAATAGTGCCATGATAAACATAACGTGTGCATGTGTCTTTATAGTAGCATGATTTATAATCCTTTGGGTATATACCCAGTCATGGGATTGCTGGGTCAAATGGTATTTCCAGTTCTAGATCCTTGAGGAATCCCCACACAGTCTTCCACAATGGTTGAACTAGTTTACAGTCCCACCAACAGTGTAAAAGTGTTCCTATTTCTCCACATCCTCTCCAGCACCTGCTGTTTCCTGACTTTTTAATGATCGCCATTCTAACTGGTGTAAGATGGTATCTCATTGTGCTTTTGATTTGCATTTCTCTGATGGCCAGTGATGATGAGCATTTTTTCATGTGTCTGTTGGCTGCATGAAGGTCTTCTTTTGAGAAGTGCCTGTTCATAGAGGATGCTGAGCTTCTCATCCCCATGCCTGCCCACCTGTCCTCGCCTACCCAAGTCATCCTCCCTGCCTGCATCACATGTCAACCTTTTGCCTCCTCAAGGGCAGGGCTCCCAATGCTCCTCTCTCCCTGTTTCTCTGCACAGTCCCCTTCTGTGGGGGTGCCCACTGGAGCAAGCTCCCAGTGCTCCACTCTCCCAGTTTCTCTGCACAATCCCCTTCTGGGGGATGTCCATTGGAGCAAGCTCACATCCTGTTACTTCTCTTGCCTTCTCTTGACCCTCCCCTACAGCTACTCCCACATATTTGCGGGCAGAGCTCTGAGCAGCTGCTTCACCTTGCAGCCTCCTCTCTTTCCATCTCTTTCCTTCTCTCCCAGCCCTTGGAGCAGGCCCCTGCCTCCTGCTGCCTCCCCTCTCCCCCAGGCCCCCATTGACCCCACACTGCTGCCTCCAGTGGTCTGCTTTGGCATGCCTCCCACTGGAGTGACAGTTACTTTGGTGGCTTCTTCCCTCCTCCACCATGGTCTGCGGCTCTGGGCTGTGCTGGGTCCTCCGCCCCTCTGCCACCACTGCCAGTTCCCCCAGCTCATCCGACCTCCAGCCTCCCTGCCCTCTGGGGGAGCCCACTCCATGACCGTCTACTTGCTGCAGGGCCCCAGAGCCTCTGTGCTGAACTGCCTTGTGTCCAGCTCCCTTCGGCTCTCCACTGAGGTCTAAAATCATCTCAAACTCAACCCGTTCCCAACTGGGCTCCCATCTTTCCCCAAAGACTGCCTCTCCTCCTGTCCATGCCTCCTTCCTTATGGGCTCAGGCCGAAATCTTCAGCGCTCCCTGAGCCCTGCTTTCTCTCACACCCACCGCAATCCATTGACAACATATGCAAAATCCAGCCACCTCTCACCTGCTCCACGGCCATCACCAGCCCAGAGTTCTTTGAGCAGCAGGTGGGGTGTGGTCCTATTCTGGCCTCAACCTGTCCACTCTGGCCACTCTGGTCTCTCTACTGCCCCGGGGCCTCTCCTGCTTCCTTCCAGCCCTGCTCCAAGGTTGCCTTTTCTATGAGGAAGACCTCGAGCCTTTCCCACTGCAGCCCCCGTGTGTGCGGACCACCAGCTCCGAGGGGATGGACCGTTGAGGACTTTTACACTCTGCAGTATTTCAGGTTCTGACATCAGGGTCAGCTCCTGGGCACTCAGCACAGGGTTACACCCTACGAGAGTCGACGGGCGGCCGAAGCTACTCCACCCGTGTTCCGTACCCAGCTGTGGGAAGGGTTCTGACTTCTCATTCACTCTTCCCTGCACCAGCTCTACAGGGAGGGACTGTTATTACCATCTTTTTTTTTTTTTTTTTTTTTTTTTGAGACGGAGTCTCGCTCTGTCGCCCAGGCTGGAGTGCCGTGGCCGGATCTCAGCTCACTGCAAGCTCCGCCTCCCGGGTTTACGCCATTCTCCTGCCTCAGCCTCCCGAGTAGCTGGGACTACAGGCGCCCGCCACCGCGCCCAGCTAGTTTTTTGTATTTTTAGTAGAGACGGGGTTTCACCGTGTTAGCCAGGATGGTCTCGATCTCCTGACCTCGTGATCCGCCCGCCTCGGCCTCCCAAAGTGCTGGGATTACAGGCTTGAGCCACCGCGCCCGGCCTATTACCATCTTATGATGAGAAAGCCAAGGCTCCTGTCCAGCCTTCCCCACTGGTAGGGAGGAGATTCAGGGCTTGACCCAAGCCATTTAGCAGGAGTGGGCGGGGCTCCTGAGGCACGGCGGGGAGGGATCCTTAGGTTCACCTTTGGGCTGGGAGCCTCTGCCAGGCCCGGAATCATGCCAAAGGCCCATCCCCACTCCCACCCAGATGCCCAGGTCCAGGCTCTTGAGGGCTGGAGAGCCCTCTGAGGAGGACAGCAGGTGTCTGAGCCCACGCCAGGCTTCCCAGAAGCAAACGCAGGAAGGCCTGGGCTTGGCCCTGATTCTGCCTGAGCTTCTTGGTGATGTGAGACTTTGTTCCCAAGCCTCTCCAGACTTGGCGAATATAATTTAATCATTACTATTACAGCTTCCAGAGCCACACACTGTGCTGTAGACTACTGAATGATACACTAAACTAACATGAATTTGCCAATGAAATTTGCCAATTTGGCAACAGAGATAATAAAATAAGACAGCATTTTATCTCCTGCATGAAAAAGCTTGAGATCAATTTGCTGCCACAGATCATTTAGTGGACAACAGGGACCCAAGAAGATGGAGGGGAGAGGTAGAAGCTGCTGGCAGGTGCAAGGAGAGCCTCTCTGAGGGGTGAACTGCCCAGAACCAGATCAGATTGAACAGCCCATGGGGCAGGGACTCCAAAGGGCAAAGGCTGCCAGGTGAGAGGCAGGAGGAACAGCGCTAGGATGGTTTGAGGAGGTGCTGCCCCCAGGAGGGAAGTGGGGTGCCTCCCCATAGCTTCTCCCAGGGCTGGCACTGCAGCTGGAGCACACGACGTGCTGACAGGGGTCCAGAGGCAGAGTCCTTAACTTACTCAGCTTAAGTGTGGCGTGGGGTCCCAACCAGGAGGGACCCTGGCAGCATGAAGCCCCTATCCCCACTTTCTGCCACAGCCCGGATGGAAGGCAGGAGGAACAGCGGGACAGCCCTGGCTGGGGCTGCAGGGGCTGGGGTGTGTTACTCACTGGCACGACGGAGAACTGCATGAAGAGGCAGGTAAGTTCTATGGCGGCCAGCACGTAGGTGAGCAGGATGACTGAGGACCGGCCTAGAGCGCTCATCCTGCCAGGGGACTGGCCCTGGTCCCTGGGAGCCCAAGCTCCCTGCATCCTGGACGGGCACAGCAGGGAGACCCAGGAGAGATCCAAGCAGGAGGCTGGTGGAGCAGGGGCAAAAGTCCAGCTGATCTGGGCGGGGGTGCTGAGTCACTGGGTCCCAGGCAGCACCCGCCTGGCCTTGCCTGTAAGAGAGGACAGCACTGCAGGACTCCTTCCAGTGGAGCTCTTCCGCTACCTGGACTTTAGAGGACACATCAGGGCCCCCTCCTCTATTTTTGACAGCTCTGGTCTCCAGGCACACAGTCTCCATGGGAGGGGAGACAGGGACACGCTGCTCCACCCCACCCCTGCAGGTGGGCCAGGCTCAGTGCCCCGTTGCCCCATGGAAGGCACCATGCCCCACTTTTAGAGGGAGGCAGAGGCTCAGAGTGGTGGCTGGGTCCACCTCAAATCATCAGCACCTTCTGTTGGCCGGAGGGCTGATGTGGGTCCCTGTGCCTGGGGGGCCTCTGTAGGCCTCTGTAGCTGCACCTGTCCCCAACACAGTGCAGCTCTCAGGGAAGGTCCACCTTCCCCCGTGACCAGCAGCCAGAGGTCCAAGGGGCTTCTGGAATGGTCTTGGAGTGCAGACGGGAGACACAGCTCAGCCTTCCAGGCTCCCCAGGCAGGGTAGCTCTGCCTCACCTCCCACAGCGGAGTGCTGTCTTTCCCCCCCTTCCCCGCCTGGCCCCCAACTGGTGGGAACTGGATTTTGCGGCTGCAGAGGCCTTTCTCAAATTTTGCCACATTCACACCTGACTGCACATCTGGGCCCCGAGGTACGGAGCCCAGGCCGGTGGGGCAGGGCGGGGAGACCCACTGAGGGCCCGGGAGCTGCGCCCAGCACCCTCCCCCATCCCAGGATGCGGGGAGGCTCGGGGGAGCAGGGCAGCCGCAGCAGGCACGTCAGGGGCACCTCATTGGGCAGAGGCGCGACACTGCGCCGGAGTTCGGGGTTCGGGGTTCGGGGTTCGGGGCTCAGGGGCCGCCCTCGCCGGAGTGTGCTCGGGTACCTGCCTTCGCAGGGGCGGGCTTGGGCACGGGTGCCGGTGGGGTGAGCGCTCCCGGGTGATCTCGGCACCCGTCCTTCCGGGGTGAGCCCGGGCCAGGCCCTTTCGGGGGATGACCTGGGACAGGGACCGCCCCTCTGGCTCTGAGTTCCCGCACTCGCCCTTTGCAATGGTTCCGGGAGCGCCCGTGCTGCGGTCTCTGAGCTCTCATTGGCCGAGCCCGCCCCTCCCCTCGAAGGACCCGCCCATGCCCCGCCCACCAGCAGGCCTGCCCGGTGCCCGGCTTCGCCCGCTCCAGCCCTCTCCAGCTTGGATCCAGGCTGCTGGAGTGGGCACTCTGACCCTCAGGCAGCACAGGTGTCCACTCTGAACTCGAGGAGGGGCAGTGTGGGCAGGGGATGGGACCGGGAGATGGAGAGAAGGAGAGGATGGAGGGGAGGCAGGGGCGGGGAGAGGAGAGTGGAGGAATGAGAGGTTAGGGGAAGAAGTAAGGGGAGGTGGTAGAGGGTGTTGTGTAGCCTGGCCCTGCCAAGGGTCTGCACAGAGCCCCAGAAGAGTGACCAGGAGACAGGCGCAGTTCTGGGAACAGCTCTGGGCCCCTCCTCACTTCTCTCCCCAGACCCGGAGGCTGCTAGGAGCAGCTGAGAGCCCGCTTTTCCCCATTTCACCCTGCCTGCCACTTCCCCACCCTTGCAGGGGCCACCAGAGACGCAGGCACACAGGTAAACAGGCTTCATGCCGCCCTCCGCAGCAGGAGCCGCTTGAGCACACACACCACGTGCTGAGCACACTTGGCCCAGGCCCTGACCTTGGTCTGGGCACCATTCTCTGTGCCCCCTGACTGTCACTAAGGAGGGAGATGCTCACTCAGGACTCCTGCCCCACCTACCTGCGGCTGGGCACAGGCTCAAATGTCAAAACCAATGTCATGTGTCAATCATCACTCAACAGAACAGAAAACTGCAGGAGTGAGACAGGGTGAGACAGACACCGCAGAGGCAAGTGAGAGCCGGCCAAAATCCTGGTGGGCAGGGGGCCAGAGCCAGGTAGCCCAAGGCCGGCTGGTGAAGCTATTCTAAGTCATGTGGGAGTGGGTCAGGCTACCCTTGGTTCAGCAGCTCAGGTGTCGGGGATCAGAAAATAATACCCCAAAATGAAGCAGCTTCAGAAGCAGCTTTGGAAGCAAAAGGTTTTTTCTCTGACCTTCTCTTGCTCTGCTGTCTCTCAGTGCCATTCTTCCCCGAAGCAGGTCATAGAAACTAGAATCCATTTTCCCCAGGGCAGGTCATAGAAATCGGAGCCCCCCTTTCCCCACAGCCAGACATCAAACCTAAAAATATTGCTCCACCTTTGTGTTCAGAAACTGGCCATAAAGAAATTATCTGACCTGCCTTGTTTGACTGTAGGGCATAAGACCCCATTCCAGGAGGGTCCTACCCCACGCCCAGAGGGAAGGAATGCTGCTCAGAAAGTTCAAGAAATCTAGACCAACAACCCTCGCTGCGCTTCCCCTTGTGGTCCAGTAGCATTAGCGCAGGTCCTTTGATTAATCTGTGTTCCCTCATGGATGTCCATATTTTGTTGAGCCTAAGCATCAAAAATGGCAATTTTCCCCATATCTTTGGGTCTTCGTCCTGAAGGCTCCTGTTCACACACGTCAATAAATTTGGGGACCAAATACCTTTTGTCCAATGAATCCGCCTTCTGTGAGTTTGTTTCTCAGCAAGCCCACGGGTGCAGTGCCCTGCGCGAGGAGATTCCAGCTGAAACAGTGCAAATGTGTTTGCATCTGGAGTGTGTGTCCCCAGATCCTCTGCCAAGCTCGGTTTCAAGAATAGTCACCACTGGCCTCCCTGGGGACCTGGGGAGGGTGCAGTCAAGCTGAGAGCCCAGAGCCCAAAGTCGAGAGCCCAGCTCCAGCCAGGATTTCCTGGAAGGACTGCACAGAAAGGCCCGTAGAAGAAGGTGGGGGTGGGTGACAGGAGTCTCAGAGTGTCTTAGATTTGGGACTCCTGGGGGAGGATGGGCATCCACATGAACCCTTACTCCATGGGGCAGGTGTGAGGGACTGTCCCCAACAGCTTCCAGACGCCTCCTGGGTTCCCTGGGGAGGGCTTAGAGGGTGAAGCGGCAGAAGGAGATGGGATGAGTTACCAAACTGCCCAGAGGTGCGCGAGGGAGGCTGAGGGTCCTCTGGCGCTGAGGGGTGGCGGGGGTCCTGGGAACTTACACTGTCTTCCTCCAGGTGAAGCAGGGTCTCAGGTAGCCGGGGAACTGGTTGAGCAGAGGAAATTGGATAGACTTTTTTTTTTTTTTTGTCATGAATGGGCTCGGTGTGGGTAGGGGAACTTCCTGTTTCTGAGGGAATGTGGGAAAATTGCCCTTTGGGCTGGGTGAAGAAAAAAGCAAGTAGAACCCTGGGACCCCTGGACTTCCTCCTCCAGAGGAAGCGGCTTCGGTTATGGGCCAGTGAGCCTGTGCGTCCCCAGCCCTAGGGCGTTCACTGCTTCGGAGAAGCAGGGCAACAGTTCTGCCAGATGAGAGGATCCAGGCTGACTGGAGGAAGGAAGGGCCTTATCTCATCTGGGCTCAGGTTTGGGAGAGAAGGCCTCTCAGAGGAGGTGCTGCCTCAGCCAGTCTTAAAGGTCGGGTATGGGAAGGGCATCCTGGCTGAGAGAATAGCCTGGATAATGGCTTAGAGGTGAGCCTAGGCTTGGAGTGTTCAGGAAGCTGAGCCACTGGAAGGGGCTGGCACCAAGGGTGTACAGTGGGGTGACGGGGCAGAAAGTGAGTCTAGAGAGAGGGATCGCCCTATTAGGGCTGGCAGGGACACAGCCAGATGTGCACTGAGAAGTGTTGCTCTGAAGGCCTCACCCTGGAGGCTGGGACCTCTGAGGGTCTCCTGAATGAGAGGAGGCCAGCTTCAGAGCTGACCCCTGCCTACACCACTGCCTGGACGTTTGAAATGGCTTTAGGCCTATCTTAACCCAACACACACTTATTAAGCACCTACTGTGTGCATGCCCCGTGCCAGCTGTTTGGGATGACAACTGGCAAAGGTGACCACCCGTTCGTAGCTTGCATTATTAGAGTGCATGTGCAGGTTTCGGGGAGGCAGAAGATCCGGGTCACCACAATGAATAAGGAAGTAACTCACCACCTACGGGCACTTGAGTTCTTCCTGTGTGTGCAGTGGACACTGCTGCAGGGTTCTGAGCCCCTTCTGTTCTCCAGGGAGCCTCTGGCTGATGTGCTGATGAGGGATTGAGGGGAGGGGGCAGTGCAGGAGGTCTCTGCCGTGGTCCAGATGAGAGGCGGTGTGGACTTGGATGGGGCATGGGGGGATTCGAGGGGCAGGTTTGGAACCTCCCTGGAAGGAGGGCTGACAGGCTTCCTGCTGATTGGGGCCTGGGCTGAGAGGGCCAAATGAGGGGGCCTCCAGGGCGAGGCTGCTGAGAAGGGGTGGCTGGGGGCGACATGAGGGGAGGGAACCCTGTAGGTCCATCCAGGGGAGGGGCCTGTGGGCCAGAACAGAGGGCAGAGTGTGCAGTTTGTGGCTGTGGTCTGAGCTGGACATGAGGGTGTCATTCATGCTGAGGTCTTACTTAGAGCTCCCACCCTGGATGAGATGACCAGGAGTGGATGGGGCTAGAGAGGAGAGGGGCCAAGGGCTAAGGCTGGACTCCAGCATGAGGAGGAGGTGGCCGGGGCTCTGACCAGGGAAAGGGAGGGAAAAATAAAGGAGCCAGACCTGGAGAGGAGAGGCAGGTGAGTGGCGGCCTGGGAGCTTCCTTGGGGCCGAGTGCTGGAGTCACTGGTGGCTTTGGCAAGAGTGTCATGGGCCTAGGGGCTGACCCTCGGGATTCAAGCAGGAGGAATGGGCTGGACACCCTTCTGAAGGGTTTTGCACCAAAAGGGGGCTGAGAAATGGGACTGTGGCTGGAGGGGAAGTGGGATGAAGAGAGAAAACCTTTGTTTACAATTTTAAGATTTAAAAGAGTGATGCTGCAGAGGACAGAAGGGGGATCTGGAAGGAGTGGGGAGGGGTCTGGCCTTCGCCATTCCTGCATGGGTGAAGTCAATGTGTTCTCCTTGAGGCTTCCTACTCTTACTCCTATGATTCTCTAAGGACCTGTCTCAACAAAGCCAGCAAGGTTTTGCCTGGGATGGGACTAGAGTTGAGGCCTGGTTGGATGTGACTCCAGCCCGCCCGAACCTCCGTTCCCACCCACCTCACACCTTCTCAACCAGGTGAGGTGCGGTTGCAGACCTTGGTCAGTGGAGGCTGCCTGGATCCCACAATGGGATCTGTGTCTGACACCCTGTGGGGCTCCATCCCAGCACCCGAGGCTTGGTATGTTGTCCTGGGAACCAGAGTCTTATGAGGGACCTCCAGCCTGCCGTAGGCACTGGGTGCCTGGCCTCGGCTTCATCTGGGAGGTGTCCGGTTAAGAGTCTGGGGGGCTGGGGTCAAAGGTCCTTCACCCCCTGACCTGGTATCCTTGGGCCCCAGGGGTCAGCCCTCAGCCCAAAGGGGCTAAGCTTGTCAGATAGTCTTGGGGAGGCCTTGTGGTGCCCACTCTGCCTCTCACCTGCTAGGCCCCGACTCTGCAGATGACACTTGAGGAAGTGAGCCGTCAGGTGCTGAGGAACCTTCTAGAACTGGACTCTATGAATGCTCTTCTGGGACTGGAGTTTGGACAGAGACTTTTAGGAGGAGGGGCAGGGGCTGGACCTCATCCAGGGTTTGTTCTTACCGGGCTGGGCATTGGACTCAGACACATCCCCTGAGAGGTTTGTGGAATTGTGGCCTTTAGGGCCAGGGCAGCACGTTCCTGGAGGAGGCTCTGCCAACAGGGGCTTCTCCACTGGCCTCTAGTGAACTAGGGACCCCAGACGGGCTTAGGGCCAAGGGCCCAGTCCCTGACACCAGTGTCCAAATGGAGGGAGGGCAGCAACCTGCTATGGGCTTTGGGGAGAGGCCTGAGGTCCTGGATGGGCGAGCACCCTCCCCTCACTGGGCTCCACTATGGGCCTGGACCTGGGGGCTCCAACGTGGTGGGCTGTGGTTCACGTACTTGGGTTCACGCTGGCCAACAGCCACAGCTGAAGGAGATAAAGGCCCAGATGGCCCATGGGGGAGGCATCCAGTGTGAGGCCTGAAGACTGGAGCCCTTGGGGCCTTTGGGGGACAGCGAGGGTATAGTCTGGAGCAGCCCACGTCCCCTTTCTCATACCACAGGCCAAGGGACCAGAGGAGATGGGTGGAGGAGCTGGGACCCTGCTCTAGGAAGCTCACTCATTGCTTGGGGGAGACCTGGTTTGCTTGGGACTGAGGAGTTTTGGGATGTAGGATTTCCCATGCCAAAATTGGGGCAGCTCTGGACAAACTGGGTCACCCTCCCCTCATGGGACCCTGGAGGCCAGATGGACTCTCCCCGGTCCTTGACCTGGAGGCAGGAAGGGACAATGGTGGAGGCTGGGGAGGTAGCCAGGCAACAGCATATAAACTGGGAACTGCGGGCGGTGGGCCCAACCTGCGGACTCCCTTGAGGGATGCCTTGCCCGACCTTAGGACTCAGGAAGAAGGAAGAACAGCTCCTGCAAAGGACGGATGTCCATCCAGGGAGGCAGGGGGAGGAGCCAGCAGCTGGTGGTCCCAACCTGGCAAGGGCCGTGGTGGGGTGTGTGTGCATGTGTACGTGTGCATGTGAGCGTGTATGCGCATGTCAAGGGCATCGTGGAATCAGGAAGAGATGTGCCTTAGAACGGGGTCCTGAGAGAGCAGCCTCACACCTGCTCACCAGCCAGAAGTGGGAAACTCAGGTAGGATGGGTGGCATGGCCACCAGTGCCTCTGTCCCCTGACAGGCACCTGCCTGAGGGCCTGGAGCTTAGCTACTGCCCATCTCTTAGGTACCCACATCTCCCTCGACCTCAGCCTCCTTTGGTCCCAGTCCCTTGTCCCCCAGGAACAAAGGACAGCCCCAAGCTCTCACCATCTAACCCATATCCAGGATCTCTTTATTTTATTTTTTATAAGACAAGGTCTTGCCCTGTCACCCAGGCTGGAGTGCAGTGGTGTGATCACAGCTCACCACCACCTTGAACTCCTGGGTTCAAGTGATCCTCCTGCCTCAGTGTTCCTAGTAGCTGGGACTGTGTATGAATACCACCACACCCAGCTAATTAAAAAAAATTTTTTTTAATAGAGACAAGATCTTGCTATGTTGCCTGGGCTGGTCTTGAACTTCTGGCCTCAAGCGATCCTCCCACTGGAATTACAGGCATGAGCCATGGTGCCCAGCCTCCAGGTCTTTTAGAACCTTCAGAATTCAGTAGGGAATCCAGAAAGAAGCAGGAAAGATTTCCAAGAAGCAAGACGAGAAGTCACAAAACCCATGCAATTACTTCTGACCCTTGGAGGCCCTCAGCTCTCACCTGTCCTCCCTGCCCCTAGACTTGCTGGCAGCTTCAGGGAACCTGGCTATTTGGTTTCCACTGGGGGCAGCCACGCTGGCATCTCAGTGAGGTGTAGCAGCCTCCCTTCCCTGCTCCGGGCACCCTGGACCTGGCTGGGTGAGTTTCTAAAACTCTGGTGGTTCTCACCCTCGACCTCTGGTGACTGCTCTGCTTCCGGGGCTGCCAGCCCCGGAGCCCTGGCCCCTTAGCCCCCACTGGATCACACCACATTTTGCAAACCAAAGAAGCATGAGAGATAGAGAGCTCCAGCTTCAAGCATTGCCTGCCCTGCACTCATCTTTGGGTGGCTCTGTGCCTTTGTGCCCTGTCTGGAATGGTCCCCTTGCCTGTACGTCCCTTCCCTTCCATTCTTGGGTCTTGGCACAAGTCATTGCCCTGAAAATCCCCCATCCCTCTTTCATCATGTAACCTGGGCACTGGCCTGCCTTGTATACTTATTTCTGCTTCTGCCTGCCCACCTAGAAGCCCCTGGAGGCACAGTCGCCCCTGAGGTCCCAGGGAGATAATGCTGAATGGACAGACAGACAGGTGAGGCCATAAATCAGACACCCCTAGTCCAGGCCTCAATTTGACATTTGAGGAGGTGGCGCTGCTCAGGCCACCAGGCCCCGGTCCAGGTGCCCAGACACCCTCAGCAGCATCTGCCGGGCTGCCATGGCTAATATCCAAATACAGGGCCCTGCGAGGTGGCTCACACTTGTAATCCCAGCACTTTGGGAGGCTGAGGCCGGCAGATCACTTGAGGCCAGGAGTTTGAGACCAGCCTAGCCAACGAGGCAAAACCCCGACTCTACTAAAAATACAAAAAATTGGCTGGGTGTGGTGGCGCATGCCTGTCATCCCAGCTACTTGAGAGGCTGAGGCATGAGAATCGTGAACCCGGGAGGCGGAGGCTGCAGTGACCCGAGATTGTATCACTCCACTCTGGCCTGGGCAAGAGTCTGTCTCAATAAAACTCCAACCCTCCCCGCAAAAAAAGCCCAAAAACCCAAAAGCAAATACAAATACACATAAGACCCCACATGAGCTCAATTCACTAACTGCTTCAAATTGAAACCTGGAGCACCCAGGGAAGGGGCAGTTGTAGATCGGGCTCAGCAGGGGGGCCCCAATCTTAAAATCCCCAGCAGCCAGCATGCGTGCCAGGGGCCCGTGCTCATGAC